TAAAATTTTACGAAGCTACCGTTGCCATTTATGATCGATTTTATTTTAAAAAAAATTTAACAAATTCTTTTTTTAATAGTCTTACCTCATAATAATTTAGGATTCAATACCTACAAGAATATAAATAAATTTTAATTAGATTTTTTTTTTAAAAAAAATCATTTAACAACTCTTTTTTAATAGGACTTACCTCCGACGATCCGATGATTAAAGAATCTGATATTATAAAAGGGTAAGTAAATGTCTTTAGTTAGTTATTAAAAAAAAGATTAATATTAAAATATTATTTTTTCATAGGACTTACCTCCGAACGATCCGATGATTAAAGCCGGTATCTACAAAAGGTAAGTAATTGTAATTAGATTTTTTTTTTTTTTTTTTTAAAAAAAAAAATTTAACATACCTTAACCAATTCAAATCTTGAAGGATCTGATATTTATAAGAAGGTATCCGATCAGAGTTATTCACGTGATAGGCATTTAGAGAGGTTAATTAGCACCCGGATCTTGTACAAAACTTTCGTGACCAAAACAATCATAAATTATTTCTACTTAAGCTTTCTTCAATTCTTCCAAAATAAAGAATTTTATTTACTTAAAAAGACCGTTTAATTACAAATAAAGCATTATTTAGATTATTTTGGAATCCTATAAAAATATTTTATATCCCAAAAATTTTTTTTCAGAAAACATTACGGTATGGATGCACTGACGACTCTTAGAAAGGAAATTAATCGTCTTGGTTTCACTTCAGATGAAAAAGACAGTTTACGCAAATACTTCACTGTAAATGTAGAAAAAATAAATGCTGCTGTGACTTTCCTGACTATACAACGGATGATGGGAAGCGGGGTTACTTGAAATCTTTAATATCTACGCATGGTATGTCTCATCTTTGTACGTGCTGTCATATTTGCCAATAATACCGAATACTTACTTAATCTTGTGCTTTTCTTTCCTGTAGTATCCGATGCTTCCAGAATTTATCCAGTTGCATATTTAAGCGGATTAGTTACCCAACCTGCGGTAGATGCGACTGGTAAGTACTACGATTGCATCCGAATATACCAAACCTATACTGCTTTTCTCATTTTTTTAATGTGTCTCATATTTATATTTATTACATAGTTCTAAGTATGGCAATATATATTCTAATCTCTGAATCTTTATATTCTTGTGGCTAAAGAAGCTTGAAATTGAAAATTATCAATATTGCCTTTTATTTTTTCTTTTCCATGGTATACATCCCACAGCTGGGCCCAGCTGAATTTTGGAAGGAACTTCTTGGCGCAAGGATAGTCTTCCCGTTACCACAAGAAATAAAGAAAGCTGAACTACTTGCCTTGGAACCTTATTCAACGATTGAAGATAATCATGTTTTCTAAACAAGGGTGTGATTACCGACTCAGATGGTGTATTATATTGCAATGGAATGAACACTAATGTGAAACTACCATCTCAGATGGTGGATGATTTTGGAGGAATGTTATGCTTACCGAATGGCTTGTTTTATATGGGAGAGGAGAATCGTAAACCGATTGGCCCAGCTAGAACTGGTTGCATGATTACTGGTTCGCCTGGTATTGGAAAGACGTACTTTGGCTTATTTATTCTTTTCTATATTCGTTACATGTATCCTAAAGCTACAATAGTTTGGAGGGGTGAAAAAGATTGTTATCAATTCTCACCGGAAGGTAATGTGCAAGAGGGGAATATCCGTCAATTTAGCAAGACGTTGAGTGATCCAAAAAACTTCTACATCGCTGATGCATCTACTATGACATGGTATTCAGCCTATAAGATCCTTCTCACATCACCGGAACCAGAAAGGTTCAAAAAGGCTGTCAAATGGCCGGGTTTTACTCAATATTTCATGCCAGTTTGGGATCTCGAAGAAATAACCATACTTTGGATTGCCCTATACAAAAATAAGAAGAATATTGATGGTAAAGAGCTCACATTTGAATTAGTCGGGACCTTGCTAGAAAATTGGGGCTCAATACCTAGGTCAATTCTTTTAAAGTGGGACGATGTAACGTATCAGCAGAAATTCTATGAGCTGATTGATAAAGTTGATTTGGAAAGTTGCATGAACTCCATCAATACGGTAGGAATGCGTTCAGATATTATTGGTGATGGATCTCGATGTGGATTCAACATTTACAAAAAAAGTGTATCGTTTTGCTTCTCCGATGGTATCTAACAAATTGATCCAAGCATACGAAAATAAAACCAATAGGAACGTTCGTGATTTCATCATGAGCAGTTATGAATATCCAATGGCCTCTGGATTTCGAGGTAACCTTTTCGAAGATTTTGCTCATTTGTAGTTGCAAAGGAGCGGTATGTTTAGGATACGGCGTCTGAATAATGATAATAACTTAGAGGAGACCGAGAAACATATCAAGAACCTGGAGTGTAACTGGTTTATGACAATGAAGGAAGCACGTAAGGGATATTATAACAGGCCAAAATCAAAAACATTCGAATCGATTGATGCTTTTAGCCTTGATAACAGCGTTTTAACCTTATATCAAATGACCGTCTCAATAAAGTACAGCATGAAGGTAGGAGTCAACATATAGAGTTGAAATTACATTTTGTTGGTATCGCATGTATCGCTAACTCAGCTCGCGTAGGTTAAAGGACTCAATAATCTTAAACGTTTTCTCGGGTGGGAAAACGACATGAATAATATTCACCTATATTTCGTTGTGCCGGCGAACATCTTCGAAGAATTTCCCTTTCAAAGTTATAAGACCGTCAAAGGACAGGATAGTCAAAAAATTCCGAGATGGATCAATAATATATCTCAATATGCATTGGAAATTAATATTGATTCGGAACAACGTAATTTGAAACGCCATTATACAGATTCCGATAATGATGCGATGTTGAGAGGTGGTGGAAGTAGGGAAGTGCTAGAGGAAGGAGGGAATAAAAAAAAGAAAGTGAAAAAGCAAAAAAA